CTCACTCTTCTCTCTAACACGCAATGCCTATTCTACAGTCACGGAGGACGTGGTCCCCGCAGGAGATCGAAGAGTCTGGAGCCCTTATTTCCAAAGGAGCCTAACTGAAGATGAAACCAATCAGTTCCAGGTTCTCTCATCAATCTTAAACTGTTTTTCCAGTCTCAAGGCAGTGACGGAATTGTTTGGACTCTCACACCTTCAGGAAATTTTTCAGTCACCTGTTTCTATAAAAGTTTAACTCTACAATTCATGCACTCGGGTCTTTTGAGCTCGGTGCATAATAGAGCATAAGCAACCATAGCCCCACCTAAAGTACAAACATTCAATTGGCTTGCCTCCTCTCACAAAGCTCTAATGGTGGACAAACTCCAGAAAAGAGGGGTCCAGCTTCCTAACAGGTGCACTCTGTGTGAAAGTGAAGAGGAGACCAAGCTCCATCTCTTCATCCTCTATGATTTCTCCTTCGAACTATAGGGCACAATTCTGCAACTGTTTCGTATTAAATGGGTTACTCCCCCATCGATCAAGGACCTAATCTCTTTTGAACCACGTTCCTGCTAGCCCAAAGCAGGGAGAATCCTTTGGACGGCTATGGTAGCAGCTATTATCTGGTCCATTTGGCTTGAAAGAAACTCTAGAATCTTTCGTGGATGCCAACTCCAACCTTCAGCTATATTTCACAGAGTTGTTTCTTTGGTCACATTTTGGGCTTCAAACCATAAGACTTTTACAAGCATACCAGGGAGTTTCTTCTTCCCCCAATGGGTCAACCTCCTCCATCTTCGACCTCAATCAATTATTTAATAAGCAATTATTAAACTAACTGATAAAATAATAATCCAAATAGACAATAACATATCACATATATATCACAAAGTATCAAAGAAAAAATACAAATAGCAAATAATGATATCATTAGACATTAAGGGCAAAAAATACAAATCTAATGAAAACTATTGAAATATAACAACCTTCTTGAAGTGGACTCGATTTCAAGTCAAACCGAAATGCTTGGGATCCCAAATCTCCTCCTTTACAACCCCTATAAGCCTAAAAAATATTGGGGATGAATTATCATTAATATCATGAACATTCGAGGATTTCAAAAAAAAAAAATTCGATCTCTCAAAAAATCTTCAAATCTGGTTTTTTTTCAAGTTGTTTCTCACTCTAAAATTCGCTAAAATTGTTTTTTGGGGCAAAAATGGCTCCCCAAACCCATATCCCCTTTTACAGGGGTAAAATGACATTTTTCCACCCGAATTTTTTTCCGCCAAAGTTGTGCAGACTGCCTAGGAAGACACCTTTTCCCACCTTTTCAACTGCCTAGGCGGGTGCCTAATTCTGCTCGCCTAATAGTATCCGCCTTTAATACGCCTAGGCATTTTTTCCAAAAGTACGCCTAGGCGGTCAGACAGACGACTTTTCATTCAATGACAAATTCACATCAATGTTACTTGCATGCACATCATATTGCTCGAATCATCATCGTTATCATAACCTTATCCCAACTATTTGGATTTGACTATATGAATCATGTTCCGTCAATCTGTTCTATCATAGACCATACCCTCAGTAAAACCATAAATCCCCATAATTGTTTCACTACTTCCATCTATGTCCTTTTAAACCTTCCCCTTCCCTTTTAGAGCATTCTACTTAAACTAAATCACACATCCTAACCGGTGTTGGGTGGTCAAGAACTAGGTGGGCGAAGTGAAGATGTGCATCCGGACCATAAAATGGCCTTCCCCTTGCTCTTTTATGGGACGAAAAGTTGGACAGTCAATGAACAACATACTCATAGGATGAGTGTAGCTAAGATGAAAATGTTGAGGTAGATGAGCGATAAGACAAAAAATGATAGAATTCAAAAATAATATATTCGAGGGAATTGAATTTAGGTGTGGCTTTAATAGGCAATAAGATGAGGAAAGTAGACTTAGGTGGGCTGGCCAGACCTTCCACTTACTTTAGTATGCAGCGATCACAAAAAACTCCAAATGCACATCTCCATTTCGCCCATCCAGCTCTAAGTTTACGTACAACATCTTCCTCAATCTCTCCATTTTTGTGGACTACCAACACAAGATATCAAAAATACTATCTTTTAGGTATGTCTAAGCCATCAATATTAACTATTTTCTTGTTTCCACTCCTATTATTACTAAATTTGCATTCCATATATTCTATGTTAGTTTGGCTAATTTTAAAACCTTCAGATTCTAGAGCATGCCTCTAAAGTTCTAACTTTGCATTGACGCCACGTCTAATCTCATCAATCAAAACTATACTATTTGCAAATAACATACACTGCAGTACCTCATCTTATAGATGCCTAGCTATTCTCCATAATGAAAAACAAAGAGATATCGGCCCCTAATATAGGCCTATTGTCATTGAAAACTTAATCATCTCTCCACTAAATGTCAGCACACTACTTAGTGCTCCCTCGTACATATCTCCCACCCTATCAATATAGCATCTAGAGACTCATTTCTTTTCCAATACCCACCAAATTAAATCCCTAGGGAACCACCATAAACTTTCTCTAAATCAATAAAAACTACGTAGAGGTCTTTTCCCTTCTCCTTGAACAATTAATTGCAAGTAGGAAATGGCGTCAATTGTTGACCTGCCTGGCATAAATCCAAATTAATTTTTATTGCATGCCTTAGTCATTGTTCAATGACCCTTCCCGCAGCTTCATAGTGTGGCTCATAAGTCTGATCCCTCTATAGTTCGAGCAATTTCATGTCTCATTTGTTCTTGTAAATAGGTACTACAATACTTTTCCTCCATTTGTCTGGCATTTTCTTTGTTTTAACGACCTTGTTGAACAGGTTAGTTAGCCAGCATATCCAATCTCCCCCATGCACTTCCAAACCTCTATCAGGATACCATCTGAACCTAAAGTTTTTTCTATCTTCATCCTCCTCAGAGCTTCCTTCATTTCAAATATCCCAATCCTGCAAATGCATCTAAAGAATAACTCATTCTAAAAAAAAAATAACTTCTCCCACGTTATGACGAATGTATATAAAGCATAAGAATCTATCATGTTGCTCGAATGCAATCTCCAAAGGGACCATTTGCAAGTTTCTCATACATAAAATATTATGGAATAACTTCTCCCAAATTATGACGATGATAGCATATTACTGGCAAAGAATTCATAAATTTGGTACACCAATAATTGACACAAAACCTTCAAAGGATATAATCAACCATAAAATCATGATGATACCTTGCAGATAAAGTCATGCACATACTATTTGTTTAGAAACAACATCTGCTTTGGGTAGAAGTCAGAGACAAGTTGTAACGTCTAATACTTTTGTGTCTAATGTCTTTTACAATAAGCGATCAAATATTTGCATTAAGGAAATATGGTATCAATGTTTTCCATTCCTTTTTTACCTGAGAAGAAATACATTGGTCCCTATTGGGTTTAAGCATTTCTAACTCTTGAGAGGCTAAGTAAAGAAGAGCAGACACGCTGCACTCAACTAACTTAGAGGTGAATATTTCTATGAGTAAGATATGAGACAGACCCTAGGCATGGTTGAAAATAGGGTCACTACTACTGCTACAACAACCATTATAACAACAATGATGACAGCCAGTTATGTCGTATATGGCCTTGGTGATGGTTCAAAAAACTTGAGATAATATAAAATATCCTTTTATAAATAACATGCATTTGTAAGCAAGTGATGTAACGTAATAACATTAATGACATACTTTCACCATACGATTCATTTAATGAGGGACAAAATAATAGAACGGATCTCTTTCGAATGGCCATCTTAGAATCAATGAAAAGATAACAATATTTTATAAAAAAAAATGACTATTTAAAGATAATATAGAAAATAAAAATAATAAAATTCAACACATATCACAACCTAAGGGCTATCTCTTTTGAAGAAAGAACGAAAACAGACAATCTTTTCAAAAAGGTTGTGACCTTTTCCCCATTTTACCATATGATTCATTTAAATAATTTAATGAGGGGCAAAATAATAGAAAATATATTTTTTCAATGGCCATCTTAGAATCAATGAAAGGAAACAATATTTTATAAAATAAAGTGACTATTTTAAGATAACTTAGAAAATAAATAATAAAATTTGATTACATATCACAACCTAAGTCTCTTTTGAAGTAAGAAAAAAAAACACACAATCTTTTCAAAAAAGGCTGACTTTGGCCCATTTTTATGTTTGCTTACCCTTCCCCCATTTCCGATTCTCACACTAGGAGGGACATTTCAACTAAAGAACAGTAACTGTCCCCAGCCGCTCTAGTCCTATAATAGCATTTGGTAAAGAAAACATATATAAAGATAGATTTTCCCTCTAAGCAGCTCCTCAATCTATCGCTTTTTAACAATTGACAGATTGAGTGGAAGAATACCACTTCCTAAATGTCCACCATTGACATCAAAGCATTATTGAGCGCCCGCCACTGTTTTCCAGCGGCACATACAAACCCTTTTAAAGCTTCACACCGGGGTTTCCGCATATGGAGTTTTGCGTTGATTTAGGTTTTACCTTGTTTTCCTTCAATTTAACCCTGCTATTCTAGTCCGCCACCAACCTGCATCCTAAGCAAAAGTAAGCCCATTTTTTAAGCAGTCTTCTCCGAACAGCACGCCCAAAATCAATGAACAGCAAACCAGATCATTTTCCAAGCAACCAAAACGAATGCTTACTCAAACTCCACAATAATTAAAAAACCCTAGTCATGTTATTTACAGACGTAAAGTAAAACTTCATGCCATTAAGCACAGAGAAAAGGGAACCACCATTCTCATAATACAAGACCCCAAACACTAACGAAACCACTCACACGAACAACAAATTCTCATGAGTACCGAAAACGATTCTAAACCAAAGAAACCAGAAAACATAAACAGATTAGGGACTCAGAAACACAGGAAATCAGAATGAGATAAATGAGTAGAAAAAGAAGAAGAGAAGGAGATTGGTTACCGGCATGAGAGAGAAGGCCAGACAAGGTTATGGTTGGCAAGCCAGTCATAAAGGACAGGGACGAGGGACTTCCACTGTGTGTACCTCTCGTCCACCGATGGCTGCCCTGCCTTCACTCTCTCCTTCATCTTCTCTCTCTAACTTCTCGCCCTTTCTCTCTCTAGATTTTCCCACGCTTTTTTCCTCCGTTTTGTTGCCAGAGAAAATGCCACACTACATAAATAGCCAGGCGCAAGGGCGCGAGCGGGAACTGAAATTTTGACGGCCCGTTTGGAGACCTTGAAAATTATTAGTGTTATAGCTATTGCAATTAGGGTTGTTTAACAAATGGATGCTTATGCTTCGGACCTGAAAACACCTTATCCATGTGAAGCTCGGTAATCTATCTCCCTCATTTGGTTGCAAAAATGAGTTGGCCGGATAAGGAAGTAGATAATAAACAATGGTACGGTTTGTATAAGGTTGGGGCTCTAAATAATTAAAATAAGGTGTGCTTCTAAATAGTATCTAAAGATAATTTTTAAGTAGTAAAAATCTTTGTGATGGGCTGAAAATTTATTTGCATCTCTAATATTAGAATTTAAAGCTTCAAAATAGTGTAGATCGAACAGATCTATAAACACTTGAAAATATTGAAATTTGACAATCCAAATAATGCATCACAAGATCCAGTATTTCCCGTATTTAAATTTATTTTTTTTCATGTCATACACTGAGGTTGAGATGATCATTTTGAGTGCTTTTCAACTTCAGAACAATCTTTAAGGGCACCTTACTTTGATTGTTTAGAGCCTCACAACTTCAAACAGTGGAGGTAACATGCACTTTTGAATGTTGTTAAAAGATGTACTTTTGTGCAAAAATCTTATAATGACCTGAAAGTCTATGTTCATCCATAATTATGAAAGTCAATGCTCCAAAAATGTCGTAAGTCAAACATATGTATAAACACTTTTTGAAAATAGATGGGCTATATAATATGTGACAATATCCATTGTTCTTTGGATTTGAAATTATTTTTTTCATATCCATATATCTCGAGGTTGAGATGATCAATGTAGGGTTTTTCAACATCTGAACAATATAAAGTTGGCCTCTTCTATAAATCTTCCATTAAGAAATCACCTTCATGAAAAAAAGTGACTAGGAATGTGCCCAATTAAATAAGAGTCCGGTAGTCGAGCTACAAGCCTATAACCCAAAGTCCAATGTTTAAACTTTGAGCTAGTCTACTACAAAAATACATCTTATAAAGTAATTTTAATTGCAGATGTATTGGTGTTCTCTACTAACTATTAAAAGCTTAGCAAACTAAGATAAATAAACTAACAATAATCAAATTTGCATACTCCACAGTAATTTCTTGGTGGTTTGATTTTTCATAATCAATAGGAATTTTTTGCTCATACATTGTTTGATTGGTGTAGAATTTATTTTTTTCTTCTTCGCTATTTTTTATTCTATAGTAAGGTGGCGTTTGATAACTATGTAAAAAAGTGAAAGTCTATGAAAATACCCGACTATCACCCCTACTGTACAAATCACGAGTTTGGGAACGTTATAAATGGGTGAAAGTCGGAACATGATATTATGAAGGAAAGTGGTTGCACATTCTTCTCCCTCAAGGCGACTGATACTATGAAGGATTGATTTTCCATTGATGAATTCCTTGTGTAACTCTTTCTCTAAATTTCTTAGAAGCTTTCCAAAACCTTCTATTCCATGGATTTAACATCAAATGAAGAAGTTTCTCTTCGAAAAAATTTGACTTTTTACGCTGAAGAGCTAGTTTCGTACTATTTGGAAGATTAATGGAGGAGGGGGTGTGCAGGTTACACCAGATGTTCATACTTGAAAAAAAATTTGGCTTTTTGTTGTTTATTTTGAGTAATTGGGGTTGATTTCTCCCGTTCCGTTTGATTAAGTATCTGTTTTTATAACCTTTATGTTGAGAGGTGCAGATAGATTGTGGTTTCATTCATCCATTAACAATTTTATGGGCTTGAGTTTTTTTTGTACTACTTGGAAGATTAATGGAGAACGGGGGCATTTTGTTGTTTATTTCTAGTAATTATGGGGTTGCATTTTTTTTGTGTTTTGTTGTTTTTTTTCTAGTAATTGGGGTTTTTATGTCAGTATTTATTTTTTGAATTTTATGGGCTTGAATTTTTTTGGTCTTTTATAGTTTATTAATTAAGGGTCTTTATCTCTCAGTATTTATTTTTTGTGACCTTTATGTTGAGAGTTGCAGATAGATTGTGGTTTTTGGACCTAACTTTTTTTAGCTACCATGAAACACTGAAACATTGGAAGTTCAACTTTTTGTATATGGAACCGAATTTGGGGTTTTGGGGATTCATCTGTGTGAACAGACATGGCAACTATAACAGATATGACAACTGGATATTGAGATCTATTAGTGTCTAAATGTATGCTATCTCTATATAGAAATTGTATCCTATAGTTTTAGTAAGTATTGGTTGTGCACTCTTTATCAATACACAATTGTATTGTAATCTGATACATATTATTGAATACACAGAAAGATTTTCTCACATGGTATCAGAGCCTGGTTCTCTGCTCTCAGTCTTAGTCTCACTGGTCTTTCTTTGATCTGCTTCTTTGTGTAAGCACCTCGGCCCAGAAATATTCCCATTGGTGCCCTACTCCCTCTTTGGTTTCTTGAAAACTCTGGACCACTGTATTCACTTTATGAAGGACCATACTATTTGGAGTATTTACGTAAATGAAAAAATTTGATTCCTTCCAGCTTGTACCTATTAAACTCAATGGCATCAACTATACTCTTTGGGCCTCATTATGCGGAATGTCATTCATGGAAAAGGCCTCCTCGAATACATAAATTAGACACATAATAAACCTTATGAGCCAGGAAAAATAGAAGAATAGGGCGTAAATAATGCTCGAATTATAGCATGGTTAATGGGCTCATCTGAAAGTAATATCGGAATCAATCTAATAACTTTTAAAACTGCTCGAGAAGCATAAAAATTTCTTGAAGAAATTTGTAATCAAATTAATTGGGAACGAAAATACTAGTTAGTATAAGAACTTCACTCCTTCATACAGGAAGAGCAATCAATTCAAGATTTTTACTCTTCTATGAAAATAAATTGGGATGCTCTAGCACTTATGGAACCTGCGATTGAAGATGGTCCTAGCACAGAAATAATTACCAAATCTCAAAAGGAATTTCAAGTTATTGAATTCCTAATGGCACTCCATCTAGAGTTTGAGAGTATCAGAAATGTCCTGGTCCACAAAAGCTTTCTCCCCACTCTGAATCAAGCTCTTTATGAGCTAATTGCAGAAGAAACCAAAATCAAATCTCTTAATTCAAGTTTTAAAAGAGAAACAATTTTTGTGACAACCCGACCAGAGATCAAATGTGCTTAAACAGAATCAGCGCAAGCTATAATATGTCCCTCTCAATAACATGACATCTGTCATATATAACTATTGTAAAGAACTTGACATATCAAGTATACCTGGCCAAACAAGAAGAAACCCACCTTTACCGTTGTTGTTGATACAAGTTAATCATTGATCAAGTATCCACTAATTCAAATTGGAGGTCCCAGTCCTACTCCTATTTTACCACCTGTGACATTTACATTGGAACAAGTACAATCTATGCTTTCCCAGTCACACTTAGCCTCTGAACCTATTCCCTCGTTTTCAGGTAACTTTGTTTCTATCTCTTGGCTGATCGACTTAGTAGCTTCTCACCATATGACCTCCAATAAGTCAATCTTAGTTGATTGTAACCTTTTTCTGATACTATCTATCTATACTGCTGGTGGAACCACTATAAAAGTATCACAATGGGCTCCATATCTCTTACTTCTGACCCTTCTGGTAAATTAAGGGTTTCTAATGTTTACCATGTTCATTCCCTTGCCATGAATTTATTGTCTATCAGTCAGATTACTCATTCAAATTGTAATATTGTTTTTTCTTCATCTTCTTGCTACATACATGATTGGCACTCAGAGCAAGTGATTGGGACTGGGCGTAAAGTTGGAAATTTGTACTACCTGGACTATATGCATATGCCAACCTCTTATGTCTGTATTGTTTCTACTGTTAATGACACATCTCTGTGGCATCAACATCTTGATCACATATCTGCTTCTTGTTTACAATCTTTATTTTCCCGCAATATGCTTGGTATTGTTAGAAATATTTTTTTACTGATGTCCAACATTATGCAACTTGTAAATTCGCTAAATCTCATGATTTACCTCTTTCTAGAAGTACTTTTGTTTCACCTTTTATGTTCGATCTAATTCATACTGATATTTAGGTCCTGCACCTATTCATCTAAAGGAGGGTTACGCTATTTTGTAACCTTTATTGATGATCATACTCATTATACATGGTTTTTTTTATATATAACCGCACTGAATTTTTTAAAATCTTCACTCGGTTTTATTCGTCTGTAGAACCCATTTTTCTACTAAAATCAAAGCCTTACGCTCCAATTCTGGAGGGGAATACATCAGTGGCTTGCTTCAATAATTTTTAGCTTGTCACAACATTCAACACCACAAAACCTGTCATTATACACCAACATAAAATGGTGTTGCTGAACATAAAAATCGTCATATCTTAGAAACTACAAAATCCCTTCTTTTTTCTACATCTGTCCCAAAAGACTTTTGGGCAGAAGCACCTCTATCACGCCATCCTCCATTTTATCATTGAAACACCTTTCAAAAAATTGTTTACATGATCACCCGATTATTCCCTCCTATGTGTTTTTTGCTGCACTTGCTTTGTTTTATTACCCCCAACTAAGAGAGATAAGTTATTTCCAAAGATGATTAAATGTTGCTTTATTGGTTACCCTAATCATAAAAAATGATATAGGTGTTACAACTCTATGACCAAAAGACTTTGGGCATCTTGACATGTGGCGTTTTCTAAACACATTCTATTATTTGACAATACAAATAAGCCTTCACCCTCTCACCTTTCTTTCTTGGTCCCCTTCTCTGATTTTGTTCCTAATTCCTCTGATCCTTCCACTCGTGTCCCTCCTTCTGATATACAAGAAGGAACGCCACTGCATGATGATAGTCTTGATCAGGACCCTCCTACACATGTTGATCCTCTGCCGCTCGCTACTCTTAGACGAAGCACCCAAGTATCTGTTCCACCTCATCGACTTGCTGACTATGAAACTTTCTTACCTCAATACCAAGCCTTCCTTGCCTTTATTCATTCTTTTTCTAAACCTCAGAGATACAAAGAAGTTGCAAGTCAACTTGAGTGGTAACAAGCAATGATTGATGACTTGAATGCTCTCGAGCGTATTGCATACTTGAGACATGGCA